GAAGAGGGTTTGATAGAATAGGAAGATAAGACATGCAGGGTTTAGCTTAATTTAAAGTAAGTTGATGAAAAAATGTATAAGTTGGTCCAATTAATGAAATAAAAACATTAGATAATACATTTCGCTATTTCTAATAAAATATAATAAAGAAAACTATGCGCATCTAGTTGTTCTTGTGTACTTTCGAGATTATGATGAAATCGAAAAGGAGATAGATAAATTAGAAAATGAAGAAAAATGTTTTACAAATACTATTGGAATACAAAAGAAAAGTAATAGTAAAATAAAATAAAATGTTCAAAAAAAAAGATTTGAAAACAATTTGGATATGGGAGATTGAGACCCTTGAAATAAATGATAATCCCTCAGAAAATAAATTATTAAAAATTTTGGAAAATCCCAAAGTTAAAAAGTCTGATTAAAATCAAAGCGAACATCAGAATGTATTAGACTTGTTGATTGATATATTCAATGAAGGGTAAGAGGAGAGTGAGAGAAACAGACAGTAGATTGAGAGAGAGTTATTGGAGGGGTTGAATTTGGCTGTAGTCTATATCCATAAATGGTGAGTGTTTCCTAGTGCTATGAACCAAAATATATTAGACCGATTGAAGGAATAAATTTTTTACCTTATACCAGTATCAATTAAGATCGAGGGCCTGTAAATCTTAAAGGAAGTTTACCAAAAGAATTCTTTGTAGATTTGTTGCTATAGGTAAATTAGGAACCTCTGCTTATGAAAACTATTGGAAGATATAAGAACATCATGGAAGAAAGAAGTAAGGGCCTAGAGCAGTTGTGGATAAATGAAGTAGAGTTGGACTATCGGTCTTTTCTTGTAAGACTGTATGCATAAGATAAAGCCACCAAGAAGCAGTATGTAGGATCGAGACTAAAGGGAGAAAGACCATAGATGTGGACAAGGCCCAGAAACATGAGAAGAAAAGGTGATGATCAATCATAGTTGCTGCCCTATGATGATAGTTAAAATAATGGCTATATGAATAGAATTGTCGACGCTCAAATGCAGAGATATTTAATTTTAACTAAATGACTTTTCAGTGGTCAATTAAGGAGATTTAAGATTTGATGTGGAAAATTCGATGTAAGTTTAAGCTCTAGAGAAGACTCTTAATGAGATATAGAGATTGTGTTAATCAGTTGGTCAAGGAAGGATTTCGAACGGCTAAACTATGCAGTATTTCAATTTTGGGGACAAAGCGAATGTTATTATTGGGAATTGAAATAAAATTGTGAGTTAGAGTTCTAAGGGTAAAGAAGAGGACCTTGTGAGGAAGTATAGGGAGGCTTAGTAGATGCAAGATAAGGACCAGAAAAATGATGAGGATTCGGAACCTTATAATTCTTTCAGTAGATGTTATCATCAAGGATCTTGAAAAGGGGTAATCAGAAAGTGAAAAGTAGATAGAAAGGCTTTAAGAAATTTAAAAGATACTTTTGTCAAGTGAAATATTAATGCAATGTACTATTAGAGTATAGGGTAACCTTGATGGGTTTGATGGGTGAGAAATCTAGACTAATTTACCTGGAGCTACTAAGTAATCGATTACTGAGAATTGTCTAGTATTTGCGACTTTAGAAGGATTTAGGAGGCTGATCTTGCCTAAATTGGTATTAACCTCTTTCAAAACTCCAATGCATGTGGATTTTGCTAAAACTATTGGACAAAAACCTTATTCTGGTAATGGTAAATGGAAGAGTTTGGGGATTGTTGAAACCTAGGTGGATTTATTAAGTCAAGTCCTAATAACTCAGTAAAATTTCAGAATGGAACTAACAATTTAAGGTCTGATGTAAAGGTCGGTTAAACCATGTTGCTAATATGGACTTTGTGATATTCATCCAAATAATTTGAAGAAGGACATATGCGACTTGAATGGATACTGGGGGGAAAGTCAGAAAACTAAAAAAGGGGAATGGGCACAAATAATGAAATCTATGTTTAATCAAGAAAATTGAATGGCCTGCTAAGCTTTTAGTGATTATAGGGTGAATGATCAGGATCAAGTCCTTGGGATAGAGAGCACTTGGGAGTATGCATCTTGGCTGTTTGAATCGTTGAACAAAATTTTTGGAGGAGTTGGTAAGAAGTATATGCATGGTAGCAATATTTAAGGGTGTCAATCAAAAACTTAGCGTTTCAAAAATTATTTTAAAATATTTCATCTATGATGTCATCAAAGAACCACCTCCTGGGCCTAATTTGCTGTCTGAGGAACTGAGTAGGCTTAGAGTAGACATGATGATGTCCAGGAAATCAATGAAAGTATGGAGGAAGGAAAGAAGGTAAGGTTTGAAGGCTAATTCCCTCCAATTGACCCGGAAGGGCCCAGAAGCCTGGAGGAGGATGTTGAATTATTTATCATAGCGATTCTGATAGAAAGTCACTCGGTGAACATATTATTAAGTTTCTGGAATTACTGATGTTGAGCTAAATATACATCTATAATAAATTAACAAGACTAGGTTTTAGGTAAGAAATATACCGACTTCAGTTGAATTATATATCCATCAATTTAATTTAATTATTTTATTGCATTTTGCCTATAAATCTTTTGGGCATTTTTGAAATTATTTGCTCTCATGAAATTACCTCCAAGTTATTTCAAGGTTGCCTTTATGTTTATCTATTCCTAAACTTTAATATTCAAATCCTTTTAGTTGTTCATTATTTTGAATAATTATCAAATCCTCATTTGACATGTAAATGGAATATTTGAATTTCAAATAAATGCACTTATTTTATTTATTTATTTCAGATTTACCTTATTTCCCTTCCCTAAGTTTATGCCTAGTTATAAATGATGAAGTACCTTGCATATATTTATTTCCATCCATTAATCATTATAATTAGCTCTGTTCTCTAATTATAATACGCTTGTATATAGAGAATTTGATGAAATATTTGTTTTTATAAATTTTAGAAGAAGAAGAAAGTACAATCAATAGGATAAAACAGAAGTCTAAA